GAGGGGAAAGATTGATTTTATTCAGTTGCCTAAATACCTCAGGCACTATAGGCTTTGTATCTTATTTAATCCTTACCCAAACCCTGAAATGTATGTATTATCACCCTCAGTGTACAGAATTAGAAACAGACTCAGAAAAGTAAAGTGGTGACCCAAGGTCTCAAAGCCCCGCCAACTATAGAACAGGGGTTTAAATAAGTTATCTCTGAGTATAAGGCCCACATTTCTAAAACAGTTACCCTTAGTGGGAGAATACATCTAAACAGGGTGGAGAGCAACCAGCCCCTGACAAGATCAGAGCACCCTACCCCTTTGACTAATAGCATTCCTTTGGAAGGGCTAGATCGTGTAGGCTTTCCTGATTTCTAATATCTGGAATCTGCTTCACTATAGAGAGCTACATTACTTAATCAGTCTATGATACTTTCTAAATTTTCCAGATTCCAGATTCAGCTTCAAATAAGTCACCTTTGCTGATTTTATAGACTCTGGGTTCTCTTCCCTAACCAGACTTTCATAACTCCTGTTTTCCCCATTTCAGTTGAACCCATGGGTTTTCTGGAGGTCATTCATTCTTTGTGTGTGTGTGTGTGTGTGTGTGTGTGTGTATGTGTTTAACAATAAAAATTGTGGAACTACAATAAATATAGTATCCTCTAAGCTGCTTCTAGGGATGGAATACAAAGGCAAAAAAAAAGAAAAAAGAAAATCTGTCCAACTCGAATCCATTACCTCCCTCTGGCTTAGCCTACTAACTGGTCCAACTTTTTTTCTCTCTTGTTACGTGTATGTGTATTAATCTTTTAAGGTCTAATTAAGATACTGCCATAATTCATTTTTTAAATTATTTTAGTTTTTTTTTTCAATTTTCGTGAAATATATACATATGTTAAGTGCATATTAAGTGCATATATGAAGGTATTTTTATATATAATTGTAATGAAATACAAATAAAGACAAAGAATAGTCACCTACAAAATCTGTAAATAACTCAAAATTAGCCATTTAATTAAATCAACTAACTAGTCCAATCTTTATAAAATATGTTAATTACACCAATCATTTCACCACACAGCTGTCTGATTAAATTGAATAGAAATTCACATAAGAGTGGCAAATATGATATGTAAAATATGATGTTATTTTTATTATTTGTATATGTTTTATAATACAGTAAATATGGCAGTATTAGATAAATAGTTAACATTATACATTTCTAACTTGCAAAGAACCTAAATCTCTTTCTCAAATTGACTTAACACATAAGCTTATTAGAGCTTATAAAAATTATTATATTTTATCTTGAACCCCATTTGGGAAAAAGGACAGAAGTTCTCTTCAAATTATTCACAAAGTGACTGCAGTTCTAGAAGCATAATCGATATTGATTAATAACGACGAGAAGAAGGGCTGCCTCGAACCTGGCACAATTCTATCCTCAGGGACTCTTGGGGCTGTCAGGGGATGAGCAGTTCTGTGCTGGTACCATAAGCCACTCTGCTCAATTTTGATCATTGACGATATAGAGTTTGCTCAGTAGGATTTGGCTAATTTCCTTTGGGAAATCACCTCAGTAAAATCCTTAGATAGTGCTCAATTTTTGACTTATAGATTCATAAAATTAACACGTTTCAAACCTCCTCCTAACTAGGAACAAGTACACACATACACTCACACATTTACACGACTTAGACATCATTGGTATGTGTGTGACATAACTATTCCAAACAAAGGCAAAATTTAGGTCTTGAGCAGAAGTCTGAACAGAACTCATCTCTTCTATTAAATACTGATTCAATAGATATGAATGCAACTGATTAATCAGTATTATATACAATTCTTCATCGTACATTTAGGAAAAGGTAGGCTATTTTAAGTATAATTTTGAAAGGAGAAAACAAAATTGATTGAAATTATTAAAATTTATGTTGAGTCCATTTTTTAGTGTGAGCTATGTTAATATTATGTGTGTACCACAACTTGCACTTAGGACTGACTATCATTTAACTGAAATTAGTTCTTTAAAAAACAGAAAAAGGTTTCCTGTGTTCTGATCTTAAAAAGCAAGCTCTTTTACTTTCCCCCCCTAACTTTCCCATTTCCCTTCTTTAGTTCAAGTTAGTTAACAAAGTCTTCTTTCCTACCTGTCCTTAGGTGTCTGACATGCTACAAGGCCCCTGAAGCACACTTTCCGGCTGATGAAATGTCTCCAGGCCCTGCTTCAAACTTTCCTGCTCCCTTCCTGTGCTGGAAAACAATTACCCAGGGGCTTCTTGTGCTTCTGCATGTCTTGTGAGCAGAGGCACTGACAGCTTTTGTTCCCAGCTGTCTTTTCAGAAATGTGTGTAATAGCGAGCAGTCTCAGAAGACAGAAGAGGTAGCTCTCCTTATGGAGCAAAGGGCAGGTTTGTTTACAGTCCAGTATAATAAAGATAATTGCTCCCTCTGTGGTAAAGGGCAGGTGTGCTTGCTGCCATTATATATATATATATATATATATATATATATATATATATATATATATATATATATATATATATATATATATATAAATCACACTGAGTTTCCTAAGCTCAGGGAACCTCAGCTATGACATAAACCCACTGGGCATGTAGGTGTCACCTAGCCCTCATTGTATCACCTTGACCAGCGCATGGGGGACTGCTGCAAGAAGATGACAGTACTCTGCCTACTGCTGTGGCTATGAGTAATAAACTGCCCTTTCTCTCTGTCTCCTGCCAGCATACATGAAACGGTGGCAAGTCCTTCACTGTTCTCGGCTTCTTGTGTCCCTCAGTTTCTGTCCTTCTGTTTTATATAAGGATTCTCATCTCCATCCAGATCCTGTAGATGATGACTCATTGGTTGGTCAGTCATCTCTCAATTGTTCAACTCAGTTTCTCTCAAATCTCTGCCTCCTTAGTCTAAAGTCGCCCCTTGTGCAGAAAACACAGAAGAATCAAATTAAATAATAAGTGACAATGAACTAAAGTCAGGGGGTATAAAAAGGATAAGAAAGGAAGTGTAAGTACAAAGGAAAATCTGGATTATCCGTGGAGGATGGGCCGTGAGAAGCCTTACAGTAGCTGGATGTTCAATGTCATCCCCACTGGAGACATCCTTCCTGGGTCATGGGTTTTGGAGTGGGATGCCTTGCTGGGCTGAGTGCCCTGCTAATTTGACAGTTTACTCCACCTTTTCACTTTTTTTGTACTCAATGCTAAAAAATATTACTTCCTTAGCAGTTCTATTTCTTCCCTTCCTTCCTACCATTTCTAAAATAGAATCAGTAGACTAATACTCAGATAAATATGGTTAGTGGTCATGATTTTTTACTTCCAATTTCAGAGAGTTCAGGGAGGATGAGCAATAATCCTCTGCAACTGGAGTCCTGAGATTCAATGGCTACTTATTATAAATGCAGATCTGCAGGCTGTATAGGCCAAGGATTTTGATTCAGTAGGGTTGGTGTGGAAAAACATAAATTTTCTATTTTTAATGAGCTTCTTGGGTAAATCTAAAGTTTGTCTGCAGGACATATATGAAGAATTCTGCCCACAAATTGCCTCTTCATCTGGTGTTATGCACTTTTGCTCAGTCTCATGGAAATAGTTCAACCCCAAATGCATAGTCACTGATAAATCTTACTTGATAGCAGTGATTTGCCCTGACAGATGCTCTACTGCCAGAGTTATTTAGACAGTTATTTTTGGCCCATGAAATATCTTTTCATGAAACTGAAAGGTAGATGTTAATATGAAAAACTGCTTTGTTCTAAAATTTGGCATATATTTGGAAAATTTTCTTCTGATTTTTGGTATGATACTATATGAATTATTAGCAATAGCCATTAATAAGAAGATGTATAAGTGGAATGAAAAAATTGAAAGCTATCACTTGTACCCACTTGGCAAAATACTAGTACCCACAAAGTACTTTATTTGAATTGGTTAAATAATGGAAAAAATTTTGAGAAAAATATTAAGGGGGTATTTTAAAAAGTTAAGACTATTGCATCCATCAGATAGTGAGATCATGTGATACTTGCCTTTCTCTGAAGTTTTATTTTATCTAGCATAATATTCTCCAGATCCCTCCACGCTGTCTGAGGAGCAAAACAGACCTAAAGACATGGAAGCATGGAACAGACTGACTAATCTCAGAAGAAATGGGGGGCAAGGCAGGAAGAGATTAATCAAATAGTTTATATGCATATATGCATAACCCATCCACACAGAACAGACAATTGTGCTGTTGAAGGCAAGGGAGCGGTAGTGCAAGGTGGAGCAGTCAATGGGGGAAGAAAAAGGAACATCTGTAATCTTTTCAACAATAAGATAAATCAAAAAAATCTTTCAGTTATGGCTATTGAAATCATAAGGAACAAAATAGGGTATTAATAAAAATTATTTTATATCAATATTTTGAGATGCAGTTAAGGAAAGGGCATGGCTAATGACATTGATAGTTCTGCAGATATTTCTTACTACACTAACTTCCTAATAATGATGTTGATGAGAAAATTTCTTTTTCTCCATATTTTTCAAATTAACTAACCTAAGTAATAGGAGCAGCAGAGTAACTGCTTTTTTTTGTTGAGTACTGACCAGTACACTTCATTTCCATCAGGTTTGATTAGGAGTCTCCCAGTTACATTGAATTAAAATAAGCTACAGGTGAAACCTACAAGAATGATGAAAACATCAGGTGCCTGCAGGGCTGTAGAGGTAGGGATTCCACAGTTTTCAATGGCAGGGACTAGCGGGATATAGGAAATATTTCCATCTGCACATTCAACTGAATGATGATGAGATTATTTGGAATATTTTATGATACATAAAACAATTTGACCAATATTTTAACATATTTGCATTTTTTCACATCAATAGGTAGTCTTCATCAATAGACTATTAAAAACAGCAACATATATTTCAGACAGCATTTTTTAGGTGGTTTATTTTTCCTCTGAGGTTATTTGGATAAAAGTTGATGGGACTTACAGTTTACGACAACTTTTACTTTCTTCACGTCTGGGAATGACACATCGTTTTCTGCGCTGCATTCATATTCTCCAGCTTGGTCCCTGGTAATTCCATAAATGTCCAAATACTGTCCGTTTTCAAATGGTTTGGCTACAAGAAACAAACAAAAAAAAATTAGAGCATGTTTCATTGTGGCTGCCTGAGGCTTCATTCAAATAAAACAACAAACTTATGTCTTCCTATTAGATATTGCTGACAAAACAATTTCAAATGAAGCTGGGGAATTATTAAAACCTTTGTTCTCCTGTGTTCAGAGGAAAAGTCAGAGGAAAAAAAGCAAAAACGGAACAAGGGATGCTCTCACAAACCTGTTTCCCCAGAATAGGATATACATGTTTTCTTTTTAATTGATTGTGGTCTCCTAACCTTGTCACGCATCAAATAGAGCTTGGCACATTTCTGTAATTGAGTTCAACAACCTCCTAGCAGTGCAGATGAAGTTCGCTAATACCACTTGGTTCATATTGACTTTTATACACTGTATGCTAGCAACTTGACACTTAACCTAACTAAATGTTACTTTCCTTTTGGGGAAATCTCATACTCATTCTCAATGTTTCAAGCCAGATGGCTTGAAAATAGTAGAGAGATATAATAAATCATTACCATGTTTCAGTTTCCAAAATTATTTATTTTTTCAAGAGAAGTACATCTTATTTACTAGATCTGACCCACACAATAAACCTCAAAAAATATTTATGGCTCTCAGACGAAAAGCTATAGTGGTCATAAAAAGACACTAAATGATCTCTACTTTTAATATTTCAGGGAAAACATTCTATTTGACTAGAGACAGCAGCAGATTAAAAATATAAAGACATAATCAAAGGTGAAAGAATATCCCCAATGAGTTAGATTGGAAAAAAAAAAAAAAGAACGATGCCTTCTGAAATAACGGAATTTTTATTTATTTGAAAGTAGAGAAACATCGGGCAGGAAAGGCTGTGGTTATCATGGCAAACGAAATGTGAATTTCAGGAGATTGCAACCCTTCTCCCTTCTTGGACAAGTCTTTTAAAATCACAGTTCAAGGCATACCAAAGAAAAATGGAAAATAAAACAATGATTCCATTAAACGGTCTGTTTTCAAAATCAATCTTAGTTCTGTTTTCATTTTATTCTGTCACCAAAACTATTACCGTATTTTCCCGTGTATAAGACAACTCCCTAATTTTACAGTTAAAACATAGGTGTAGGCCTATATTCGCTGTATAAGACTACCCCCCACTTCAAAGAAAAGACTTGCTTTGCCGTCAAGATCTGCAGGTAATTTTTGTGCAATTTTGGTCTATTGCCCCCGATTTTTGGTTGACTTTTTTTCATTTCAAAAGTTGTCTTATATGCCGGAAAATACGGTATATCAGTGTATGTTAAACAACCAGTAAGAATATTTAATTTTATATGAATGAAACAAAATAAAATGTAGTTATGTTGCTCCAAGTCTAAAATCCATGTCGATTAAAAACAACAACTTTAATTTTTTTTTCCTGTGGGCTCTGTTACCTGGCCCTAAATCAGTTGCTGCTCTGTCTGCCTTCCAGTTAACTAAGACTTTATTAGTTGCAACCTGGAGTGTTTAGGATGTATATGATTAAGGCATTATTCTTTTTTCCCCCTCCTTTTTTTGTTAATCACAAAGTATAGACATAAGAGAGTTATACTTAGATGGTGGTTGACTAGTAAGCTATTTCAGGTACAAGAAAAAAACTTACAAAAGCAGCAGTTGTCTTCAAAATTTACATACTTAAAATCTGATTCTGTAATTCCTTTTTTTTACTACCTAGTGTCCTTACTGACTTCAACATACAAATGAAACATTGATTGATTTTTTGTTGTTCCTGTCTTCTCTTATTTTCACTCTTATTAGTGAAAATAATTGAAGCTTATATGTATCTGCAAAAACTACTAAAATTTAGGGATGGCAGAATCCTTATTCACATCCTAGAATTTTTAGAGCATAACTTGAATCAATGCAAGATCAACATTAAATGGAAATTAAAGTATGGATGAATTGGTATACTACATTAGAATTAACCTGGTTGAGCAGTGAAAAATGAAGCCAATCACAAGTTAAAGGTATCCCACTGTGAAATATTGTCAAACAAATTTATTAAGGCTTAACTTATTTCCAGTATTAAAATGCTACTTGAATATTTCTATTTTTTTGTGTACTGAGATAATTTTTAAAAATTGTATCCTCCAAAATGATTTTTTGATAAAAAAATGTATATTATACCCATTTGAATATTCAACTATTTTATAATGATTCTTAAATAAATAACTAAATACGATATGTGTGTGAATTTCTGTATTACTGCTTTTTGCTGTTTAAACATTGTAGACATATGAACAACTGTTCTTAAAGTATTGAAAGATAAGAAGAAACACATTAGAAAAGTATGACTACCAGGAAAAAAAAATTGAAAGATTTTTTTGAAAGATTGAAAGCAACTATAAGCTGTATGACAAAAATAACTCCAGTGTCAGAACCACTACATCTGTCAACTCCAAGAACACCATGTTTATCTCTGGAACTCACTATACAATCCACCTAACAATGTTTATGGACCCTTCTCAACTCGACCAAAGAACAATGCCCCTATTTACAACTACCAGAATTAGCAGTAAATGTTTACGCATTTACTATAATCAATAGCTATAGAACCAGTGAATGAATGGTATTACCAATACTGACCATCAGGAATATAGCACTAATATAAAGACACTTGGGTGGGGGGAGCATAGATTCATTGTTAACTTTATTTTTTCTCATTTACATGCACCATACAATGCACCAACTCTCCCAATATGAGTGCTCTAAGTATTCTCCTGTGTTTACACAAGTAGCTCTGTTTCTATCCTGAACTCTCCCTTGCTCTCTTCTCAGTCTGATCTCACCAGGCATCCATTTCAGGTTTGAAATTTGGACTGGCCCAGGACCCAAACTCTGAAGCTTCCTAGCTGTCTGTACTTAGACTTGGCTTGGCTGCCTCTGGTGGTGGTTGTCCTGTTTTCCCCAATAATAATTTTTCACCTTCGCTGTGGAGCCAAGGAAACCAATCCTCTTTTATACTTGGCTGGGTTGCCTCTTTTTCCATCCCTCCTAACAAAGGGGAGAGGATTTGAGCAGAGTACATTATAATGCAAAGAACATTTCGGTTCATGCAATGTAGCCTAACTACTCTCCCCAAATGGAGGGTAAAGAGCAAGGCTGCGTGAGATAGGGAGCCAGACACATGAGGACCATCACCAACACCAAGCCTTTACAACATTTATGAGGATATTCACTATCTTGGGGTGCTCTTATAAATTTAGATGAAAAAAAAAAACATTGTGCAATATTTTCCTATCTTTTAGCATACCAATATAAATAAATGCGAATGAAATATGGCAGCCCTCTTTGGTCACAGGTTTTGCCAATTTCTGTGAGTGCAGTGACGGTTTCTGTTTTTTTCATCTCTGAGTCTGCAATCCCAGGGGCATGCCTGAAACATCATACTCTTTGTAAATATGTGAGTAAATAAACAAGGACACGTATAAAATGAATGAATAAAGTCCTGTGAAGATAGAGGACAGAAAATCAGAACTAAGCACTTACATTCAAAGAAGTCGTCACTTCTCTTACTGAGTCGTGGAGAAGGAAAAGGAATGTACAAAGCATTGTCGTCTTTACTGACATCCTGAAGTGACAGGTGTCGGCCGTGGTGAGAACAGACTACAGTTTTCACAGATCCTTTGTAAAATCATAAAGACTAACAAAAACTTTCAGAATGATTTGAAGAAAAAGGGATAAGTACTGCCTATAGTCTCAACAATAGTTCTCTTTTGTGTGTAGTCTCTTCCAGGCATAGGTAGACTTTTTTCAAAAAATGAAGTACTGAAGAGATTCCCCATGCTTTTAATAATGCCACTATTACCACCATTTTCAAAAGGAAAGCTGACAAAATAGGATGTAGCTATGCTTTATAAAATCTCTCTCATCAGATTTGTGAGAACCTCACCAGAAATATTGCTATGGTGGCCACTAAAAGGATATTCAGTCTAAGCCTCATGTTTGAGAAGGTATATGAACCATACTTTATGTTGCATATAAAAACTGGGAGCAGAAAACATTGTGTGGGACCACTTAGGACTGGGATACCTGAAAATTTTCAGCTTTTAATATTGTCCACAGGGAACCCTGACCAACTTGCCAACTACAACTCAAGTTCTCTGACCTCAGCACACATTCCATGGATGGTCTCCTATAGCAAGTCTCTGCTCAGAGGAGGGACAAGATGGCGACCAAACAGACGGACTTGTTCGGACCCTGGTCCCAGAACAGATAAAAGCAGCCCCTGAGTTGCTCAGGAAATGTTGATTGGCAGCTAAGGGGCAGCTGAACTCTCAAGGAAGGTAAGGAAGGGTCCACTGGACAGGATTTCCTGACCAAGCAGCCAGCACTGCTGCGGCGGCGACCTCTCCTGGAGCTACGGGCTTAGAGGGAAGACTGCGCCATCTTACCAGGAAAGGAGGAGCTTCTCTGAGGCCTGGAAAACCCACAGCAGAGGAGTCCATCGAGCAGCTGTGAGGCCCCAATTGGCGCAAACACGTGGATTCAAGGGAGTTCTTCAATCACCCATGGAAAGGTCAGAGTTTGCAGGGATAGTGTGAGGGTTCTGGGTCCATGAGGCACAGGCAGCGACGGTAGCCACAGAGCTCCGGCCCCGCCTCCACTGTAGCCGCAGAGAGCCCGAGCGGCTGCCTGCGCTGAGCTGCGCCCAAAGAAGGCCTCAGTGAGAACCCTGCCTAGCAACATCCAGTGCTGAGTTTGGCGTAATCTTCCCCAGAAGCGGGAGTTTTTTAAAACGCCAGGGGACACGGGGACAGATTAAGAATCGCGGCTGTCCCGCCAAGGGCGGAACATCTGGACACCTTGGCGCCTGATCCCCTTCACCCCCTTGCTTCTGAATACTAGGGAAGGACTGCCCAGTTGGGCATTTCCGGGGAAATTTCTGGGGGAAATTGCCTTCCTGGAAACAAGGGATCTGAGCCAGAAGAGATAGTCTTGGAGCCAGTTGGCACTCTGCCACCTAGAGCCATAGAGAAAG